TATGTATTCTCCTTCTCTTCGTAGTAGTTCCTCCTTCGCTTTACATGGGTAATCCTCTAAAAGCAAAATCTTACAGTTCTCAACGCCGTATTCGTCAAACAATGAACAGCAACGCGTATCAACTTTGCCAGTTTCTTTATAGCGTTGGTACAAGCGCCTTTGTCGCTCCATTCTTTTGCTTAAAGGTTCAGGTGTTGAACCGATATAACGTTTGTTAAAATCTAAATCAACCACTTTATAGATTTCCCCCTTTTCATACCTATTCATACCTCTGTTTACCTAAACATACCATTTCTTTAAACCTTTTTAATGAACCGATACGTTACACCACAAGCAATAAGCATAACAATTGTCTGAATGATGCCCATAATCATTGCATAGTCGCTGTGTTGTAAAGTTGCTACATAACTTGCCGTGCTTGGTTTCAAAATTGAATGCTGTATTACATTTCTCGCACCTGCTCTTAAACATTTTCAAACACCACTCGGGATTTATGTAATCTTCTTCGTTTATCTCTCTGCCTGCTTTTCTGTCTTGTAATTTGTAATTATCCGCCTTGTTTTTAAAGTATCTCATTATCATATTTTTATCCATTTGTTTATCAAAACTTGTGTTGTTGTAAAACCTGACTTTTCTAAAATCAACACAGCGTGTAATACTTGTCCAAACCCACTCCCTGCTTACTATTGGTAAGTTGTATTCGTGTATAGTTATACTCCCCTTCACACTTGCTCCCTGACTTGAATGGCAGGTGGCGCAGTATGAATATATATATATATATAAAGTTATTATCGACAATTGCCCCAAACAGCATAAACTCATCTTCATCATTTGCAATGTTCTGTAATGTTATTTGCGCTCCGAGTTCAACGTGCTCTATGCTCGTAATTCTATACCGTAGATTTACATTTACCATTGTTGTTTTATCCATTTTCTGGCAATGAGTATTTCGCCCACTTCGTATTTATCTTTCTTGTTTAACCTGTTTCTAATCTCATTTGCTGCATTTCGGCATCTTACGTTAGTGTAGGCGATTTTATGCTCCGATGCCATGATGTCGTCAGTCGTTTCAAAATATTTCGGTATAATGTCTTGAATAGGCAACTTGTTTTCCCAAGTCATTATACATATTACTAATGATTTCCCTATTTCTGTCTGCTTCTTCGCTGTCCTTCGCTCCTACTCTCTTACACGCTTCTAGGAATATATTGTATTTAAATACTATATCTATGCAGTTGTCTATATAAACTGCTGGGTTCTGGCAGTTCGTCATAACTTCCACTCCCTGTAATTGTTTAACATCGCACGTCCCAATAACGATAATATCAGGATTTTCTTTAACGAACCGTCTGACCTTATCCAATACATAACTGGTGAAACAGAAGGATTAGCTTGGCCTGATGTGCCGGCCTCTTCCTCAAATTTGTGACCGCCAGGCGCTTGGGTGTAAGGGCTCATTAAGTTCTAGGGCACATACTCCTTCCGAACCGTAAGGTATAAAGCATAAACAGCATAAATGTGCACATTCAAGCAATCAAATCTCAACCACAAGAGAGAATCTTAGCGGGCCCCGAGCTCCAACGACGAAATGCCCAGCCTGCGCGTCCTTCTTCGGGAGGTTCACCCCGGTTGTGCTGTAGAGCACACCATAGAGTTCTTCAGGGCCGGGGCGGCTCTAGGGCTTGTGGGTAACAGGGTTTAGGGTTTAGGGTTCAGCAGCTTCGGATCGAGCAGTGTTAGTGGAGCTTGCTATTTCGAAGCCTCGAAAACAAACCACCCACCCAGGAACCCTCAATATTGAGAAACCATATTTTTCATTAATCCTNNCCCTAAACCCTGAACCCAAGGCCCAAAGACGCCATATTCCACCAAAAAATGCTAAGTTCCGCGAAAAATTTTCCAAATTCCGCGAAGAAATTGCCAAATGCAACGAAGGGCCGGCCATCGCTGAATATGGCAATCTTTTCGGAATTTGTCGAAAAGCACCGTAAAACCCTATTCCGCGAATCCATCAAAGCTTTTCATGTGAGCTCGGGGATGAACGTGTTGAACCCCTGCATCCTTCTCTAACCCTCAAGCCGGGTCTTTGGGGCTTACGGGGTTCTTGTCTTGGATTTTGGGTGTTCCGAAGTTGTGGTGTCCCGAGGGAGGGGTCAGGACGATTCACGGATTTGTTCAAAATACAAAAGGTTGGGCTTTGGGTTGAAGGCGCCGGACAAAATCTCAAGACTGCTCTACCCAAAATCCCAAGCCCCAAACCACTCTAAATCCGAAAACCCAACCATTGTGCCCTGTCCCACCTGCCTTTGACCTGGTCTGGCTGGGCGTAGGCCTGCCCCAAGATGGCCCGCAAACAGGATGGACTCACGCAGCCGCTCCACAGCTAAGTCTAGGCTTTTTCAAGTGGTTCATGACACTTCATGGATAGTTCGAGGGTACTTCTGCCCCTAGCAAAGGTAATCCTAGCCCTTAAGCCCGAAGGCCATCAATTGGAAGCCCTTGGAGTAACTGTAGCTTGAGATTCATCTGCCATGCCGCTGCATAAAGCTTAAGTGTGGGTTTGGGTATGGGGTTTCAACCTTCCTTTCAGCGAAGGCAGGATGTTTGGCAAATCAGGAAAAAGCTGCAGCATTTTTTTTTTTCTTTTGGGGGGGGTAAGGGATTGGAGTTTCGTCAAAAAGCCCCAAAGTCCTAAACTGCAAAAGCGCCGCACATACAAAGCCCCAAAACCACCCACCCAACCACGAACAAAACCCTCACTCCGAAGCTTCGGCAGCTTTACCCTCAAGATCTGTTTCTCAATCGGTTCACGGACGGCACCAAGGACAAAAGGAGTACGAAACATAACAAACAGCTAAACGGCAATTGCAGACAATGGTCAGGATTGCAGTGAGGGACAGGGGTTTGGGGAGTGCGGGAATCAAGGTAGACGGTTGAGCTTGTTAGGTTTCCCAAGTCAGGTTTAACGATCCGGTCTTGTGTTGGGTCTCCGGGCAGTTGCTTCTCCTTCAGTCAGTTGGTTTGGGGAGCATTGAACGATGGACGATGACTCCTGACTATCCTAACCTTCGCTACAGGCTCGGCTACGGTCATCTGTCCACTTGAAATGCATAGACTGCTTGAGGCGCACCGAGCCCTTCCTTTCCTTTCTATGCACATCTGCGCAGCTCGTGAGACGTGTCGCACTCCTCCAATTGGTCATGTCTCTCCTTGTGCTGCGGCTGGCGTCCGTGTCTTCATTCCTAACTCTGCCATGCGTAATGCCAAAACCCGAAAGCCCTGGACCCCCAAACACAAAAACCCAAGCACTTTCGAACTCCCAGCCCTGAGCCGTGTTCAGCCCACGACCTTCATGAGCTCCAGAGAAGTAGATTTCGCGACAGCCTACAGGCAGCTTTGCATCGGGAGGCTGAGGCGGAAAGTGTCACAACAGAGGAATTCATGACATATGTGGTCCGAGGCATGTTCTTTCCCAAAGGTTATGTTGCAGGTTTGAGAAATCAGCAAGCACGCACCACAAAGTCAGCGTCAAGTATCAGCCTTTCATGCTCCGCAGCCCAGCATCGTGCTTGTTAAACAAGATATTCCCAGCGCTACATTTCAAGCTCAAACCCCGCCATCATTGGCCAGCATTGCTGCTGACTTATTTTTTGCTGGTGTTGTTGCCTTTGTTAAAAAGTCGTTGCCGTCATGAGGATGTCGTTGATAGCGCGGCTGTGGCTATGCAGGTATCCTGACGGATGAATGCCGACGGCTGATTTGGTGATTACAGGATGTTGTTGATGAGGATGCTGATGGAGATAAATAGCAATGCCGTCGGCGATAAGGCGGAACGCCACGAACAGCAACTTGGTGATGGCTGTGGGCATGCCTATAAGCACCGTCGTGGACCTGACCATGCTCCGGACCATGTTTTTTCTGGTCATGGTCTCAAACTTTATGGCCAGACATCGGTGTGTTGCCGTGGTCGTTGTTGCAGTGGTGGTCGTTGTTGTTGCGGTGGTGGTGGCGGCGATGGTGGCGGTGGTGGTGGTGGTGGTGGTGGTGGTGGTGGTGGTGGTGGTGGTGACTGTTGTGTGTTTCGTTCCACCGTTCCTGCGATTCGATTGTTGTTTAACTTTTCTGTGCTGTTCCAGCGGAAGTCCCACCGCCCCTAGGTTGCTTCAAGAAAGAGCAGACACGAGGCAACCCCGAACGCCGAAGGCCTGCAAAACTGTCAAGCGTACCGTCAGCACTGGCCCAACATGAAACCTCAAATCACGACTTGCCCAGAAGCCTTGGGCAAATCGACGCTTGACGTGCTGTACAGATTGGTGTACATGTGCTTCAGGGTATCCTCGGACACCGGACTGGCTCGATCTTCGGGCAAGTGAGGCTGCCATTGTTCTTCTTCTCAACTGAATGACTTTTTGCTAACCCTGCGCACTGACAGCGATGCCGCTGCTGCCAATCACTATGATGCTGTGTGATAAACCCCATTCCGAGTACGTGCCTGTCTGCCTCCTGATCTACACTCATCATTTTACGTAAGGAGCGCCATGTACACTCGCCACAGCCCCAATAAATGCATTGGCTCACAGATGCATATGCAGCTTGAAATGCATATGCACATGCAGATGTGTGTGTGTGTGTGTGTTTTTGTTTTGTGTGTGTGTGTGTGCGCGTTCGCGTCTGTGTCTGCGTAAGCTGTTGCATGAATATCGTTCCCCTTTTTTCTCTTCAGCGAGTGGTCTGAACAATCATGCATTGCTTCTTGCGAAGTTGATGACTGTAGCACTGGTTAGCAGTTGTTGCTACATACTTCCTTCGCAGCCTCGTAGCTATTCAACTTATGTGAGGAGCGACAAAGCCGGAACCACTGCAAGTAAACAGTGTCTGCACCTACAAGATGTAATCGTAACCGGGAACCTGCACGGACAGAGGGCTTGCTTCGCAGGCAATCAAGCCCATTGACAGAAGTCGGGTTGTTGTTACAATCATCCCCAGAACCTGCGCAAAAAAACACTCATCAATCAAGGCCAAACAAGTCCCATCTCAGACAAGGCACTACAAATCCTACAGAATCCTACATAGACCCAGTCGACACAATAGAAGCTCCTGCATTAGGCCCGGACCCTAAACATACGCCCTACATGGCTTTTGGTTTTCGAGCCCCACCCAGTCAAAAGACGGGATCGATGTGCTGCTTTGACAGGTCCAGGAGCTGGTCCTTCAACTCCTTTGGGCTTGCTTCTGGGTTTGTTACCGGATTGAATTTGAATTTGGCAGGGTTTTGTCTAGTCGCACTTGGTTTCTGGATTTATGGGGATTCAAGAGTTGTATAGGGTTCGATGCTCAGGATTAGGTGTTTATGGTGCTTGGGGAGTCTAAGGGGGTTGGGAGGTTATTGTCGGGGCGATGCATAGCGCACATAGACAGATCGAAGGTTCGGAATCCTTTGCTTGCGGCATCCAAATGCTTGATGTGGTGTCTGAGATGCGGTAGAGCCGAGGTCTAGCTTCGGGCTTTGAAGATATTCTTGTGAGACTTCAGTGTGGAAACTGCGCAATTGTGCGGATCACGAACACGAAAGTATATGGGAGCTACATTGGTACTTACGCAAGCGAATAAAGTACCTACAGATGATGATCTTCCAGCCGATGCCCTAAAAAAGCCCTCCGGCCTGCATTAAGTTCCCCACGAGTTTTTTTAATCCTGTCTGCGAGAAAACCCTACTGACAGCCTCATTCGCGGGAACCTGCCAGGCTCTGCTTACAGCCGATAACCATCCCAAACCCAAGTGAAAAACAAAAGTAAGCCTGAGTGAGTGTCGTCGTTTGGGCATCTTGCATGCAGCTCTGTTAGAAGAAGTAGGTTTTAAACTCCGAGCCTAACTTCCAGTTGGCATTCCACCTTCAGGGCACCGTTAAAGGCTTATTCAGAGTTCACGAGTCATGGGACTCGTGGGCCTCTGTCACCTAAGCCCCAAGAAATCCTATGAACCCTCTGTAGGACCGCGGAGATGAAGGGACGCAAAGCCGAAACAAGTTCAGGGCTTAGCCCTGTAAGTGGGTTCTATACGGGCTTACCACATGGCTTACAGTACTACAATGCTGAGATCTTTGCATGCTTTTGTATTGTAGTACAGGCTTTGGAGGCGTTAGGATTCAGAAGGGTTTCAGAGGGTTTAGGGTTGAGGGCCTAGCCGGGTAGTCTAACTGTTGAAACCCAGCAATTCCGATGTGCAAATCCGGGAAAAGCACCAGGATGTCACCTACGTCCGAATTAGCGGGGGGCTCTTGCAAAGGATCCCGCCTAGTATTGGAAGCATCCGCCACCCAACGACTCCACGTTTTACAGCCCCCGGCTCAACGTAGGGGTCTTTGCTGTAATCAGAACAAGGTTCAGGGTCCATTTCTGGCGCACCGAGGAGGGAACCACAAGTAGATGACAACCACTGCTGCTTCAGACCCATGTAATACAAACCACAAACTCTTATAATATGATAATTAAACTCTAAACCCCGATATCACAAAACCTCAACCCTATAGTCTAAATCCGAAACCCCTAGGATAGAAATCCTCAACCCCTTCTAAACCCAGAACCCCTCCATTATACACCCTCAGCCATCATGAGCCGTAAGCCTCACTACACGGAGAGCGCCTGCTTGGAATAGTCCAGGTAAGAGGTAGAGTACCTCTCGAACATCTATATATATATATATAATGTAACAGAAAAGATAAACATATGTATATACGGATATGGTAGAATAGAAAAACTCTTCTAGTTGCATCGATCTCGGCATCGGGGGACGGCTTTGATTAGCAATGCGAGACAGCAGCAGAATTCGAGGCACGGAAGATGTTTGTTAAGCTTGTCCAGTTCTGGTTCTCTAAACCCCTGAACCATAAAACCCTCTGCACAGAGAAAGTACAGATATCTGCGTGGCCCCCTGAACTCCTAAGGCCTTCAAGTGGAACTGGCGACTTCTCTTAAACTTATCAAACCTTCTTGTCAAGCTAACCTTATAAAGCTTAGAATCGAAACCTTCAACTCTCTTGGAAGAACGGCCGTAGGGTCTGGATGGAAGGCACTGAGAGTGTTGGATTCTCTCAGGCTGCTTGGGCGGAAGATTTGATTGGCTTTCAATACAGCGGAATATTTTTGGTGAGGAACTATGCCACTATGCAACCGGTCCATGAAGCACGAGAATGGCCAAAGGAGCCTTTTCAGTCTACAATCTCTTGATCTGCCTGCATAATCCTCGAGAGCCTCATTACAGAGTTGCTTTCTTGCGATCTCTATCACTATTCTGTCGCTTACGCATCCCCGTAGTGCTTTGAGTTCCGTCTGCGGTTGATCTGCTTTGGCTTTCTTTGTTATCCCCCTTTGTGTGCTTGAGCCCTTTTCGCTTCGCAGTGGGCCCAAGGTCTTCGAGGATTCAGGGACACTTCAGGACAAGGTCTTAAGATTTATGGTGGTGCTGTTGCTTACTTCTATGGGTCCATTTTTGAGAACGACCAACGCCATGCCAAAGCCCTTAGAACCAAGCTGCCCTAGGAAAGCGGAAACATGTTAGGCTCTGTTGGCAGGTTCGGAAAAGTCGGTGTCATGTCAGCTTCCGGGCAGGGTGGTACGCCTGTTGAAACTCAGCCTGCGCGTATTGTGCGTCGGTTGAAACTCCTCAACACAAATCCCTGTCGCGGAACAACGACTTCCAATGGCATGGTCTTCTATGATTGTAGCACAATGACATTGATAAGTGCCCCATAACTAACTGCTGATCGAACCCACTTTCCCACACCCCACTTGCTCTTCCCGGCATAGGCCAAAGGCACAAGACACTCCTAAGCTTCGTGAGGTCGTCCAGGCTCACGCCGCAAGCGGTCAGGATGGGTGCCTCCTTCACGGAAGTTGCGATGCTAAGGTTTCAGAGAATTCAAGCCTCGGAAGCCTCAAGCCCCGCATCTCAAACCTCAAACCCGACTAAACGCCTCAGCCCCGAAACCTACGGCAAAGGAAGCTCTAAGCAACTGAACTTGGGCCAGTCTCTAGGTGTCCTTAGCATCAGGATCCTGCCGTCTGGGGTTCAGGCCAAGGGTCCCGCTGCTTCAGGTTTAGGGCTGAGGGTAAGCATCCTGCTATCTAGGTTTCACGAGCCCGTGATTTCCGGAAACTCAGTTCCGTGAAGAACAACATGGGCTGTGAGCCTCTGGTATTGGGGCATCCGTGATTGGAATATGGTGTTGGGGTTTGTCGTACAAAAGTCTACAGGGATATCGGGGGTGACACTCTTGTTGTTGCTATTAATCACTTGTGTGGTACTGTTACCGATATTACCTTTGTTGACTGTTGCTTCCCTGACTAGGTATTAATGATCATACCCTGAACCAAAGCTTTCAACAAGGCTAGTGCCCGAAGATGTCCCAAGATTCCCCGAGCGGACTCCCGAGACCCTGCAACCCTGGGGCAAACGCTTGAACCCAAGGCTCCTCTGCCAACCTCAACACGGGGCTTGGGGTTTAGGCTTTCAAAGGAGACCGGTAGACCATCTTATTCAGCCTATAACCCACTGAACCTCAGGGGTTTGAGGTGTTGGGGTTTGCCCGAGACCCCTGAGCCCTCAACGCCCGAAACCGCCTCGCGGGCCACGGACTCTGAGTCTGACTGGGAAAGGTCCAAGCCTTCGGTGTTGTAAAGCCATTTCTGCAGCTCCTCAGGCCCCATCATGGACAAACGACTGTCAGCTCCTAGAGCCTTTCGGGTCTTTAGGAACTTTGGCTTTAGGATGCTTTGTTTTAGAGGTTGATTAGGGCAGGGAGCTTCTATTTCATTGAACTGAGATTGCCACTGCAGAGTTTGGGGTGTCGGGCCCTTGGATGGAGGACATGTTCTGGGTAACAGAAACCGTACAAAAAGGGCACGCGGCACGCGTTCAATCAAAAGGGAATCGAGTTTGCAATAAACGGGGCTGAGGAGTTCTGAGCTGACAGGGTTGATCTCTGAAGTTCGGGCCCTGAACCCTGAACCCTAAACCGGGCTTTCGGGCTTTAGTGTTCAGTTGGGGCTTCAGAGTAAGGGTGGCGACGCTGACCGATGTGAACTGTTGTGAGGTTTGCAAGTTTTCGAACATTTTACTGGGCTAAAGCCTTTACAAAAGGGCTTCAAACTTAATGTAAACCGACCGTTGACTGACACAAGCGCTGGCGGTAGTGAGTCCAGGCAGCGGAAAACCAGGAAATACAGGCACCGGGCAAAGAAGTGCTGTGGTCAACATAACATCACAAGTAAACTGACAGGCCTGCTGAAGCCCGCACACGTATACATTTTCCATGCCTAAACCGAAGACTACCGCCTACATGTACCACTGATCCCAACAACACGGTGAATCCTACACTCATTTGGGGAACGTAAGAGTAGGATTCTGTTAAGAATCCCAAATCCTGGTAAGTAGTCACTCATCCAGCTGTGCCAGAAACTCGTCGTGCACAGCCCAGCAAGCGCAGTGTTCCACCCCATACCCTTCGACAACCTCTCTCGGCACAGGTATTGGCACCCCATGGCGAGGCATTGAAGGATTGACGGGTGACACCTCTTGGACACGGGGTATTCCATCGGGCTCGGCCGAATGAGTCAACACGCACAGGAGTGTCCACCTCGATCTGCCAAATTTCTGTGATCCTACATCTACATTCAACACCCTAAAGCCTTCAACTTTACCCTCAACCCTGTGACGGCTTGCCAAAGCCAATTTGCTCCGTTGCTCCATGCAACAACGCGAACAATCGCGAACATGAAAAAGAGGGAACAGAACAATTGCTATTGCCAACATTAAGCGATCCCACATCGAACTCAGCTTGCGGCGGGTTCACCGATGCAGCTGGCCAGCTGCAGCAAAGTGGCGAGGAGCACCTGCCGTCAAAGCAGATGCTGTCACCGACACCAAGTTACTGCTTTGGGAGCTTTCTCGGCAGGACCCATGTATTTCGGAAGATACATCCATTGGACGATTTCAAGTTGAGAAACTCAGTCAACGACTCCCCTTATGAAGCTGCCAGTCAGTGAACAACTCAAACACTCCCTCTGCGAGGATGCTTCTTGGCATCAGCTTTGATGTCCGCGCCACTGCAGTGCTCCTCAAGAACCCCCCTCGAAGCCAGCTATGAACCAGTGCGCACCACGAAATCCACAAGGCCCAGAACAAGGCAGCAATGATCACCTCCGTTGCTTCTTAGCCAGAGCCTATGGCTCAGGGTTTAAATTTTAAATGGTAAGCTAAGCATGTCGGTTCTCGTCTTAGCATTGCGACTGTGATTGCTACGGTTGCAGCAGGTCGTATGACTAGCACCCACTTTACATCTACTACCCGTCTTCTACTGCCCTCGGATGGACCGTTCGTACTACTGCTCTCTGGGTCCACTACATGGAGAGCCGCCCTGGAGGGGCCGGCAGCGAACTTAGGCTTTCCGACTCCGTTTACCAACATGCGCAGCTAACGGCCTCAAATCAAGTTTTTTGACTGGGCCACTTTGTACTTTGTTACTATGTCCTGGGCAGCTGCTTCCTGTTGCATGTTTGCAGACCCGATACAAGCCACAACACATACAACGAAATCTGTGAAGAGACGAACCCAAAGTGATCGTGTGATCCATGCCCGAGAAGGCTTCAACGATGTGGGGATCTACGGGCCTCTATAAAACCTGAGCCCTACTTTGGGGCCTGAAGTTGTGGGGCTCAGTCTGAACCCTAAACTCTACGAGGTGCTGAGTCGGGGGATCTGGGCTTAGGGTTTCAGGGTTGCGGGTTTAGCGGCCCTCAGCTTCGAAAGCACCTTGCAAAGCGCCATTCTGCCGTGCCGACGCAAGGGGGGGACGAGCAGCACTTAAGAGCACTTAAGAGGCTGCGGAGAGCTTAGGGAACGTTTAGCCCCAAAGCCCAAATGCCCTGCAACAGCCAAATCCCTGAAATCGTCAACGTGATCAATTCGTTGCTCTGTTCATGATGCCTTTTGAGGGTGGAACCCGAAAAAAAGCGCCAGAAACCCACCAACCTGTTTTTTGCCCGAAGAGAGCGTGACAGACATGTGCGTCCAGATGTACGGATATAATATATATATATATATATATATGTATATATATATATATATATATATGTGTGTGTGTGTGTCTGTACATATATGTATGTCCAGGCGGGTCCGTATATAGTACTATCATGATTTTACAATGAGGATGGTTGTTTGGGACTTATTTCCATAATGGTAGTACATGTGGACCCCCTGGGTATATGTATATGTATATATATATATGCAATACACACACACACAGTCATGAATCAATAAATAAATCAGTGTTCCCTTCATCCTTTTCTCTCCCCATATATACACATGTGTGTGCGTTCACTTGAGTGCAGTGTGTGTGTATATATATATATGTATATGTGTACATACAAATACATGGCTTTGTATGGATTTCTTTTTCTTCGTAACACACCTAAGCTGAAGATGCGTAGCGCAGTAAAGAGCAAGTCGGCATCTCCGTATGCACATGCTTACTGCCACTACGAGGTTTGGTTCAAACGTTGAAACCCCCAGACAGCTGACGCTTCCAGAAGGCTGACCTTGAGGCAGAGTTGGGCCTGCAATTGAAACAGGTTTCTGAACATCTGAGATGACACCCTCACGCCTTCAAATCGCGCCTTCCCTGGTGAGTCTCTAGAACCCGTTCGCTTCTGTAGAGACCCAACCTAGAAAGCTTAAACCCTGCGAATTCGAAATAGCGGGTTCACTTAGATTCCGGAACCCTGGTAGGATTAACGGGGCTTCTGCTGGGTGGTATTTCCAGGGGTTTTAGGCTAGGTTTGTACTTGGGCGAACGATGTGCCGGCACATTTTCCAGGGGCGATTGCGGACTCTTTGCTGTGCCCCTTGGCCAACTCCTCCACTTTTTAAGGCTCAGCTGCTCTCTAGACGTGGTGGTGGTCGGACATTGGGCGCGATGCACTGGTAGTTGCCGCCATTCCCGTTCTTGGCCCGATCCGATGCTCCGATGCCGAGAGTTCTCTCCAGCCAGCACCTCCGGGGCCGGCTTCCCATTGCCCAAGCTCCTTCTGCAATTCCGCCCGGTGCAGAGCTCCAAGCTGCATCATTCAGAAGCAAATGGCCACAGCTTGCAGCTTGTCCGTTGATAATTCCTGCTGCATGCCAGCAGTTCCAACTGCTTGCAGCTGTCACTAACTCTGCAGATACTTTGCCTGTTCTCGGGAAGCCGTCTGACCCAACAGTTCCTGAAGGCTTCCAAGGTCTCTGGGATGAGCCCCTCGTCTGCTGAAGTTGTCGTGGGACCCTTCATGTACTCAGCTCTGCTTTCGCGCAAATGTTTCGCGGATGTATTTGTCAATATCCTTTTCCTCAGAAAGTCAAGGGAACAAAGGTGCAACAACGCAACACTCAGCCGTCCTAAATGACTCTCCATGATATGACTGAATACTGATCGTACGTCAACACATATTGATGCCTGCCACCAGCACGACGGCGAAAACAATAAGAACCACCAGCAACCGCCGCACCAGCACCAGCACCAACACCAACGTCAGCACCGGCACCAAGACCAGCACCCGCTCCCGCACCCGCACCGGCGCGAGCACGACGACGACGACGATGGCTACTGCTACTCCTACTACTAACTACTACTACTACTACTACTACTACTACTACTACTACTTCTTCTGCTAGTACTAGTACTAGTAC